GGGACGGCCGTCCAAAAGACGGCCGTCTTTTTCGACGGGACGTGTCAACTCGTCCCGTCCCCTTGAGTCTGGACCTCTTAGGACGGGCGGGTCCCGCCCGTCCCGCCCGTGACGGCCGTTTCGACGGGTTCAATGAGATTTCTGGCGGCATCATACTGGTAAGTAAATAAAATACTGTGTGAGGGTATTCAAAACTCAACTCAAGTTCTTTGCTTCTCAAAGCAATTTTTGAGGCCTCCAGACAACGAAAAGAAAAGCCTTTGAGGTCGTCTGGATTCTCAAAGCGGGCAACATTGATCGCATCAATCATATCAATCACCTTGCTTTCGACTCGATTTTTGCCCCAAGCAGTGAGTTCATGTGGAAATGTGATGGATGATCTAGATTTCACCATAGAGTCGACCAGATTCGAGCGGTCTTGCCCAAATTTACGTTGATCCCGGGTAGACCCGTCCAACCCGTCAAACGGGCGGGGACGGGTACCCCGTCGACGGGTCAACCCGTCCCGCACACGTCCCGCCTAGGTCTTGAGGTCAGGCTCAGGACGGGCGGGTCCAAACCCGTCCGTCCCGCCCGTCGACCCGTCAAGAACGGGGACGGGTTGAAGCCCTACTCGGACCATGGGGTCCAGCGAGATTAATATTTACATGCCGCCTCAGTGCGCGTCTGGAGTACTACGGCTTGTGACCAGAAATATCCTTGCTACTGAAGAACACTAGTTGAAAGAAACGAAGGGACGAGAGATAGGCGCTGTGTGACGTGACGTGACGGAAGAGCGCGTCAATTACAAATCAAATCATTTTCTCCTTCTCCTACGAGACCCAAGGGGCGTCAGATCTCCTTATCTGCCACACATCAGTCGTCGCGTGGCAATGATTGCCGAGAGGCCACGTGACTCCGCGCCTTTTGGAAATTTCTGCCCCTAACGTCGAAGAGCATCCAAATGACAACTCTGGAAGTAAGTCAACGTAGTAATTGGGCACAGTAACTATATATATGAATGTTTACTATGAAAATACACCCTCGGGTTGCATATTCTATGTTTAAGTACCAAGTAAATTCAGATCCACATTTACAGCAGAACAGATGTTTCCAGGGTATTGAGGTACATTCAAGTTGCTTTCATGCACAGAGAGGGTAGCAGTATGCACATTATTTACAGAATACACATTCTGTCGGCCGTCCACAATGTCGGCGAAAAAAGGTCAAGCTAGGTAGTGATTTAGCCGGTCCGATGAAGTTGGGGGGGTTGCCGAAGGCATAGCAACCCCAGGGGGTGGATTCGACGCGTCGCAAGCCGGCGGGTAGAGCGAGACGTGTCGCGCAAGTATCATGCAAGAGGAGTGGCGCTTTGTTGATGGCTCGGAGCTACTTCCAGATCTGGGGGGGGGGTGCTATCACGTGTGTCCATCAGTGTGGCAGATAATGATTGTTAACACCCCTTGACGAGACCCACTCGTCGTCGTCGTCGTCGCCACCTGCGAGCTCGACGCCCTGAACGCCCTGAGAGACACCTTGGACACCCGCCGCGACGCCGACATGGACACCTGAAGCGAGCGCGTCGTGCTCGCCTGCGCCGTTCCGTATGTGGTCGTCAGTGCCGGCGCGCGGCTGAAGGACTACCATCTCGAGGGCCTGCAGTGGATGATTGCGCTGCACGAGAATGGGATCTCTGGGATCTGGGTGAGCTCTCCCTCCCTTCCTTTCCCGCCTTTTCTTTGCCGTGTCAGCAAGTCGTGGTCCCGCCCCTTGATCACGCCCCGTACTCGCCTCGGACACGCGGACCGAATCTTCTCAGGGTTCACTCAAGCCTCATTCACTTGGCATCCAGGTCCCTGCGGCGGGCTCGCATACAGGTACGTACGCTCTCCCCTCTTCTCTGTCTCATGTCAGCGCGTGTGTCATCGCGAGACGGACCGCGTTGCGTGCCCGCCTCTGCACGAGCGTCTACTCGCGCAGACATGCGGCGCGTTTCGTCCCAGTGCGCGGGCGGCGAGTTGGGTATGCCCAATCAGCAGTAGAACTCAATTAACTCTGTCCATCACTATTCACAGAAAGAGTAATTAGCGCCGACGCAATACGTGCTCGCCGCTAGGTGGTGACAGAGAAGCACTGGCACAGCACTGAACCCGAGTGTCCAAGGAGGTACAGCGCGCATAGTGGATTAAATTGCTGAGTAGAAAACATCGTCAGTCCTGCGCATGAGCGGAGTGACCGAGTTCCAACTGATATTGTCCAAGCCACGGCTGAACGCAGTGCCTGACGTTTGGCGTTTTTTTTCCTCTCTTCTTACTAACCGCGTGTTAAACCTCATGTGCGTCGGCGCATTCGGAGCGTCTTCGATATTCCTATGTATGTAGGCATTAATCGGCACACGGGCCTAGAAAGTGTCAAGCACGCGCGCTAGGAAACTGAACAATTATGAAGGTTAACAGGTTACTCGGTGCCGTGTGTCGGTTTCGTGCTTCCATTGAGTGTCTGCGAGCGCTCAAGGATAGTACATACATCGAAGCATTCACCGTGTCAAGGCCAAGCAGGCGCCCAACAACTTAGACCATCATCATTCAAACATTCAAATGTGTAGTGGTCGGAGACGGTGGCGTCGGCAAGGTATGCACCACTGTGTTTTGGCTGGCAAGATTTCGATTCGCTTCTGATAGCTTTTGATCCCGTGCTAGACTTGTCTACTCATCTCGTATAAGACCAAGAAGTTCCTGAAGAAATATGTTCCAACCGTGCGTCGCCCAAACTTCATTTCACAATTCACGGACCAACCTCAAGGCATTTGACAACTATGGGGTCCCCATGATGTGGGAGAAGGATGCCTTTATATTAGGCCTGTTTGATACGGCCGGTCAGTGCTGGTCTCCCCGTTGCAAACAAAAAGCTCACTTGCTTCTTGTATTTTGCCTGCAGGTCCGGAGGATAACGACCGTCTGTGCTTCCTCTCATAACCACAAACGGACGTCTTTCTGGTGTGCTTCAGCGTCATGTCTCCCACATCGTTCGAGAGCGTCAGGGAGAAGTGGTTTCCCGAAGTGGACCACCACTGTTCGGGTGTGCCACGCCTCATCATGGGGACACAAATAGATCTCCGAGACGAGGCGGAGGTGACAGAGAAGCTTGCGCGCCGGAATCAACAGCCAATTACGAGTGACCAGGGCGAGCGGCTCGCGCGCGAGCTGGGGGCGCAGAGATACGTGGAGTGTTCGGCACTGACACAGCCGGGGCTAAAGAACGTGTTCGACGGGGTGCGTGTGCCATTCTCCCCTCCTTTGCCTCCCGCTCAAACCTCTTTACAGCCGATTGCAGTACCGAAGGCGTGAATCAAAATTTCCAGTTTTGGGACATTTTCAAAGAATTCCCGATATCTCAGCCAATTCTTCACCGATTCACTTGAAAATTAGATAGATCTACTCTACTAATTCAACCGCAATTAGTGATACAGAGAAATGTGTGAAAATATTATGTATTACCCATTTTCTGATTCCAGGTTGTTTTCGGACCGAAAGCCGTCTAACATGCCGAGAGCATGTCCCAGCAGCGTAATATTTTGGTTTGGACAGAACATTCGACTGTAGGAACATCTGATAGAACCAGAGGCATGGATAAATCACTTGCAATCCCTCCAGATCCCATGGACACATTTGCCAGTTTTGGCATCGAGACATATTGTAAAGATTACATTCATCCATACATTTCTAGATTTCTGGTTATATTAAATTGTTCCTCAGTCGAATATGGTGGCCAAACCAAAATATTACGCTGCTGGGACATGCTCTCAGCATGCTAGACGGTGTTCGGTCCGAAAGCAGCCTGTAATCAGAAAATGGGTAATACATGATATCTTCACACATTCCTCTCTATCACTAATTGCGATTGAATTAGTAGAGTAGATCTATCTAATTTTCAAGTCAATCGGTGAAGAATTGGCTGAGATATCGGGAATTCTTTGAAAATGTCCCAAAACTGGAAATTTTGATTCGCGCCTTCGGTACTGCAATCGGCTGTAAAATCCAGGCCTTCTTGGCCGCGCTCGAGCCGCCAATTGCCTGCGGAAAGAAAAGACCAGGATGTGTCGTCGTCTGAATGAACTTGTTGTGGGAGACACCCGTCCGTCCTCCGACTATTCTCCACGTTTCAAATGAGTTCACCGGAGGCTTCAGCCAGATTCTCTCGCGTTCCGTAAGGCAAGATTAATGTTTTATCCGTCGCTTTACCTCCATCTCCATCCCCATGTTTTGAAAAGCCTTCTTATCACCGATTGCAAGTATACTGTATGGAACGTCCACCCACCGAGCGCATCTTTCCCTTCCCGTGTCGCTCCTTTTATTATAATGGCATTTCACCTTCGTGAAGAAGGGGAAACAGTTTCCACACAGGCATGGCTCGGGATCTCTCTGAGTCTGTTTCGAACGGGCTGCTCCTACACGAATATCACTACTTCTCTAAGATATGTAGGTGTGGACCGTCCACCACCAAGCCGTTCTCTACCACCTTGAGACCTTAATTTCGCAGTCCTTGATTTTCTGGGCATATCAGCTTTGGGAATCTATTTCTTTGTGAGCACTTTCCTTCTCGGTAGGCAATCATCTATGTGTAGACCGAAGAAAAAAAGCGAGCACCCAGATGCTCATGGCTCGGGCCTGAGTCGAACGGGCTGCTCCTGCAGAAATATCACTATTCTTCCATAGTATGTAGGTGTGGACCGTTCATACCACCGAGCCTTTCCTTGCTTGTCAAGTGCCTTGTTCTATGAGAATGGCAGTTCAACTCTGGAAGCGGAAGAAAAAAAGACGGTGTCCAGCGCTTCATGGCTCGGACCTGAGTCGAATGGGTTCCTCCTGCATACTACGCCAAGTTCACACCCTCACATAGGTTGCAGGTGTGGACCGTCCACCACTGAGTCCTTCCTTGCTCGTCTCGTTCCTCCCTTTATCCTCGGTGTAAAGTTGAAGCTGAGAAGCGGAGATAAAAAAAAAACGAACTCCGCGCACTTATGGCTCGGGCCCGAGTCGAACGGGCACCTCCTGCAATATAAAAGTCGTTGCTTTCCTTTTACAGGTGGCAGGTGCGGACCCTCCACTACCGAGCCGCTCTCAATCCCCTCGAGTCCTTGGTTATACCTTTAACGAAGAAAAGTGTGGTTGAATACCGGAGCACGGACGTTCAGCTGGGGCGAGGAATATCTTCCCTGGAATATGGGCTGCTCCTTCATTCTACAGACTTAAATGGTTCAATTTTGAGAAGCGGAGAGAGAAAAAAGTATATGAATGGCCCGGGCCCGAGTCGAACGGGCTCCTCCTGCATGATCGAGAAGCGTATTTAGCATCACGGGTACGGTACGTAGGCGTGGACCGTCCACAACCGAGCCTTCCTCTGGCTTGCTGAGTGCTTCAACAAATGAGAAGGAATCCTTTCAGCCAACTCGAGTACTACGGATGTAATGGTCGAAGTTTGAATTCGTTGAATGTGTCAATGGTTGCGCATCTGAAGATAATTCCCCTGCCGTCCGTCGAGATTTAGACTCTCGTATGTGCTTGGAAATACTTACCAAAGATATTTGCACCTGAAGGGATGCAAGACGAACGAAAAGGATGAGAGATAGGGGCTCTGTGACGTGACGCGTGACGCCATCCGAAAAGAGCGCGTCAATTACAAATCAAATCATTTTTTATTCTTCTCCTGACGGCCGCACACTGGCAGCATGGAGACCCACTCATCGGCGTCGCCACCTGCTAGCTCGACGCCCTGGACGCCCTCAGAGACACCCGCAGAGCCGCCCGCCGCGACGCCGACATGGACATTGGACACCCGAAGCGAGCGCGTCGTGCTCGCCCGCGCCGTTCCGGATGTGGTCGCTGAAGGACTACCAGCTCGAGGGCCTGCAGTGGATGGTTGCGCTGCACGAGAATGGCATCCTTGCTGTGTTCTCCCTCCCTTCATTTCCCGCCTGTTCTTTCGACGAAGTACCGTGCCAACGAATCGTCGTCCCGCCCTTGATCGCGCCCCGTACTCGCCTCGGACACGCGGACCGACTTTTCTCAGGGTTCACTCAGGGCTCATTCACTTGGCGTCTCAAGGTGCGCAACCCACATGCTTACTCTAATCCTTATGTACCTACATTCACTCAAGTCCCTGCGGCGGGCTCGCATACAGGTGCGTACGCTCTCCTCTCCTCTCGCAGCATGGCACTCGGGCCACTTCTCCTCCGTCAAGGGTGCGCAATGCTGCTCCTTCATCTTTATCACTACTCACTCGTACTTTTGCAGCGCTCATCCTTACATCTTACCTCCGAGGACCCGCTGAACGAGGTGAGCACGCCACCATTCTGTCCTCGCGCGCAGCCGCCAGCCGCGGCTCCCTGCACTTTGCGCGCGGGTCGTCCTCGGCGTAGTCAAGCGGCGGCGCGTGACGTCTCCGCGAGGCTGCAGCGAGGCTGCACGACGCACCACGGCCCGTCGTCCGGGCTGCGTTCTGGCGGGACGAGTCGCGCGGGCGCGGGCGCGAGCTGCGATGTGCGGCGTGCGGGCGTGGCGAGTCCTCGTGCTCGCGCGGGATACAGTGGGAGGAGTGCGCGCGGGGAGGCGCCAAGTCCCCGTACTCACGGCGATGTGGCGGGGATGTCGTGAGCGAGGCGCGCGCGGAGGAAGTGCGGCGCCTGCGGTGCGCGGAGCGCGCGCGGGGAGGCGTCGTATCCTGTCCCCGTACTCGCGACGATGCGGATGGGGTGCAAGTACGAGGAGCAGCGGGGCGCGGGCGTACAAGGAGCGCGGCGCGGGCGTTACGCCGATTGCGTGCGGGGGATACCCAGTAAGCGCGAGATGTTGAGCGCTGGCCGTGCGCAGATGTACTGCCCGTGGCGCCCTGCGAATCGGGCGAGGTGTCCCCGGACGCAGCAGCGCCAGTGGTGAGTCTCCTGCTCGCGGCATTCTCGCCCAGGGCCCCCGCGCCTCGCACCGCTGAGTCCTCCGCGCGGGTAGCTAGTCGGTACTTAGTTTCTTTATTTCCTCAATAGATTTCGTTTCTGCCTTCCTTTGCGCGACAAATTTAGCGCCGCGCTGCGGGATAGCGAGTGGTGATTGCACGTTGATGTTTCCGCAGCTGGAGGTGTGCATTGAAGCCGGCGTGAGTTGCTGACACGATTAGTAATTAGTATCCGTAGTGGAACTGGAAGAACTGACCTTTGCTTTCAACTCGTCTCGTCCTCGGAACTGCCGCCCCGCTTACCTGGAAGTCGCAGAATAAGAATGAGCCTGGGACCTTGCTTACCTCTCTCTCAATTGAGCAAGAAAGCCGTTGGGAATGGGAGTGAATTGAGCACACAAGTGCTGAAAAATCACGGTGTAGGTCAGCGCTGAGTGAAAGGGATGGATGAATGCATGAATCACTGCGTTCCGACGTCGCCTGGACTCGGCAGCCGAGTTGTGTTTGGCTGTGTTCCGGTTAGCCTAGACGGATCGACAGAGTCTGTTTACCCACCTAGCCAGCGCCTAAGCTGACCTGAACATAGCTCAACACAGCTCGCCACAGCTAGGCTGACTGAGTGTAGGTGGCGTCGGAACGCAGTGAATGGAATGCATGTGAGGCTCGGCCTCGATGCTTCGAAGGGATGGTATGCTAATGTGGATGAGACGATAGTGAATAGGACTTGCCTCGAGTGTGATGTTGAATGAACGTTGACTCGAGTCATTTACTTGAGTTCAGGTCCCAGTTCAACGCTCCAAGGAGTCACTGGCGAATCTGGAACAGAGTCAGTATTGATCGAGGCCTTAAGATCTGCACACGTACCATCGTTTTGAGGAAACAGACCCAGTTCAGGACGGAGACCATTTAAAGATAGTCTAGATCTCGGTGTCGAGCCGAGCCCTCATCTAGAGTCAATATAAGCATCGGATGACATTCAAACTTTTATTGCTGGTGGATGGCGGGGAGTTATGCTTGGGAGGAGAGAGCTCGGGCCAAGCTCCCACTGGGTTATACCTGTCTGTCCTGCCTGGTCAAAGGCCGGCCATGCTATGATTATTTGCATGCCGAGTGCGGAGCATCTTCACGATCTGCGCTCACAGGTTGCTTCCACCGTCACTCAGCTGGCACGAGCATTTTCCGGCGAGCCAGCGCTGTTTGCGCGCTGCACGAACCCCTGGTGAGTATCTTCCGTGAACAATGTCACCGCCATCAGCAGCCAGATTCGGTTCCCCAAGTAATTTGTCTGACCCTCCCTGCGTGTAGTTACCCGCAATTGCGTGTTTCTCTGTAGGCACACCCCGCAACCACTCTTTCTTCCATACTCCCACCATGCCAACACCTTGCCTCCAAAATCCAGCCAGAATCCCCATTTCACAATGTCTCGCGCTCCCGCGAGCGTCCTAAAAGCCCTGTATGTGCAGGATTCCTGCCCGGATTTGATCGCATTTTGACGTCCAAATCCAAGGGGTACCTAAAACGAAACCTTCGGCATCAACTACCCAAAACCTTCCCTGTCAGAGCGCGCCGTGTGCCAGCTCGCCGTTCATGAAACCACTCTCAAATATACATATCATTATTTGACAGATTTTGGCCTCTTAGAATACATGATTATAAGTCTCCCCGAAAGCTTAAGTCATGATCATAAAATATGGTAGTTTGAAGCAAAAAGTGTCAACAGATATAAGGTCGCTATTTAAGGGTCTCGTCAGAGGCGCAGAGAATTAATGTATGCAATAAATGAGACTAGATGAGCATATTTGCGGTCTGGGACGTTTGGAGGGTCCCGCGGTACTGGTATTAGTGACAAGACATGCCTTCGCTTCGCTCCAGTGTTGGAGTTGGATGCGTGCACGTTTCATTGATGATTTGGCAATTACGGTGGCCAATATTTGAGCATCACTGAGATTCTTGATTCATAAATATCTTCCTCTCATGCGCACGCTCTCAGTAAACGTATCCACCAAGGACAGTGAGAAGTAAGGATGCGGCAGATGGGTGTAATTATTGGGAGATGCGAAAGATCTTCCTAACAGGCAGTGAAATGAAGGCACCTTAGATTAGGTCTACTAAATGAGATGGAATTGACACAGAGAAACCAACTCATCGCCGAGCAGAGGGTCTCCCACCAGACGTACATATAGTTACATAATCGCACCCGATGAAATTGCCACCGGAGAGTCGAGTCACCAAAGAGACACTGATGAACGAGTATTGGCCTAGGCATTGATGAGGCGCCGGCGCGCTCGCTGGCGAGAGTGGCATAAGTTTCTGGACGCATGAGGTACAATTGGAATCGATGCACGCACTAAACTTGGAATCACGGTAGGTGCGGGTCGCTGTTCTCGGTCTGGGCTATGAAAGATGCTGAGCGTGAACATAAATGGCAGTATGGTCGCCGTCGTGGCGGAAGTACTGATCTCGAGGAATTTGGACTTGGGGACACTCGCGCCGCATGCAAGTCCTGAATAAGTGGTCGCACTGTCCGTACACTGGCACAACTTACCGCGAACGGGACTGAGAGCTTTTTTGAGTCGTCCGGAGCAATGGGCCATCCTGCCTCATGAGGTAGTACCGAAGGATGTGTACCGAACACTCAGGAATTACTCGGTGTTGGGTCAGTCAAGTCATGCGACAACGCAAGAGGCTGTAGCTTACCTCAATATCGGCGCCGCTGAATACAGTGATTCAGAGGATGAGAACAATTGAAACCATTTGAACCAGCAGCTCACCATTACGAGAAGGAATTCAGAGAATTGCTGTCTCATTGCGTGGCATGGCTGGTGATGAGCTGTCGGAATATTATGGCATGTGGAGAAATACTTCTACCTGCCTCATCTCTCCCTTTACCGGATCTCAAGCTAGAAGAATGCAGACGATTAAACGCGGGATGGCAGGGCGAAACAGCAGCGCCGAGGTAAGGACTCACCCAACATGACTGCATATGAACGGATCCGTGAGCCCGATGAAAACTGTCAGGTATTGGTTAACGAAGGACTAGACTGCAAACCTTGTAGTAAACGGGGAGCAATGCAATACTTAGGCTCGATGTGTTGCCGAGTAGTGATGCCCAGGGCCCGGCTTGGCCTGGAAGCCCGGGCTTGGGCCTGGCTTGAGGGGGCTTGGGCT